TTTACCTAGTCTAGAATCTACTAAGAAGGCATACATGCAACAGCTTTTATAGATGTGAGCATTTTATTGACCAATTTAGAAAGCTCACTCAATAATTTTACCTAGTTTGTGTCTTTAAAGGAATACCCGCAGAGACTGTTTTAGATGTGACAAATAGATTTATACTTTAACTTGTCAGGATCTGCACATGTTATATTGTTACTATTTATTAATATTGTATGTTCGTTGTAAATTATGTATTACTGGGCCTTATTGTAAATTGGATGTAAATCTAAATATGTAACCCTGTCTAAATAAAAGAGTTTGTTTTTATTATTTGCCGTAATTTGTCACATTTGTTTAACAGTAGTCATGTTAAATCAAGTGAGCAATTCAGACTTACTGGGCCTTTTGATCAAACAAAGTGATAAAACGTGGGTGATTCTCATCACTAAAAGGATTTCTTTGAATAGTATTGAACTTTTTTCTGTTGACACTATGGAACATATTGATATCTTCTTGCGTTAGTTTGGTAACAATCAATGTTCCTCTAAAGAAACGTTTGATATAGAAAACTTTCAGTATCTATCTTGGATGGATGGCCATCAAAATTGACCAGAGGTATTTAATTGTTTTATGTTGAACCTATGGATGATATCAATATCTTATTGAGTTAGTCTAGTAACAAAATATCTGTTGTCATCTGCTTCTGTAGAAATGGTTGATAAAGAAAAATGACATTTGTTCAGTACGTATCTTAGGTGGAGGACACTCAGTATTGATGCATTTCTTTGACCTGATGTACGGGGCTAACAAAGCCTTTAGAGATAAACCACAACAGTTTATGTATAGGATATATTACAGAAATGGAATGTAATATTCTGTGTTTGCAAAGGTTATGTCTACAGTCGAATACTTTCTACAACTGTTTCCTAAACATGTTCGAAAATAGAAACCAGTATATATAATATTTATTTTCATATATTAATGCATCTTTCTAACCAAAACAAGCCGTCTTGAAATAAAGGGGCTAAGTAAACAGCTGTTTAGTTATTCGCTGCTGGCACAAGTTAGTCATTAAAATGATTAAGATAAGTTGATAAGATTAGTAATTCAGAATCTTAAATAACGAATTCGCTGCTGGCAGCGGTTTAGTTATTCGAAAATCGAACATCCAATAACTAATTCGCTGCTAACTTCAGCCCCTCTTGAAATATAATATCCTTCCTTTTGAAAACCTAATCCGCTATATTAAAAACTCATTGGCGGCATTTTTGAAGCATAGTTAACATAACGAGACATTAATATCATCTATCAGAATGTCATTTTCGACAAACATGTAACACATTTTTATTGGTATTTCAAAAATAAAATCGAAAACTTCTTTAATTGAATGATTATTTAGGTAGAATTTTAATATTTTTCAAAATGTAAAACATTGAAGTTTTGCTTTACCTTGTCAGTATGATAACTAGACAAAATAAACGAACACTACAATTAAATAGAACGCGGACGGTGCGTATATTCAATAACAAAGTGTGCTACGGATCATTCTATTGATGTTAAATGGAGCAGTGACACACACACCAGTATTGATAACAAAGCCCATAACACCAGTACATGTACTTAGTTAGATATTAACAATATGATATAAACCATTCAACAAGGGTACAACGTCTAACACTGTTTCTACACGATTTAGATCGACTTAACATTCCAAATGACCGGTATGTACTCTTGAACTAATACAATTATGCATAATACTCTAGAAACTAATATTCAGAAAGTAATCATACGATTTAACTTTTCAACATGTTATCAAGTATAACACATCTATGTACTCCTAATAATATCATCAATAGACGATTTCTTTCACTATGTTAATACCGAGATCATCGAGCTATTTATTGAGGAATCGTGCACGTTGTGATTGTTAGAGTTGCAGCAATTTCTCAGCTAAGCGAATTGTGGTACGACAACAAGAATTCGGGGTCGGGAGAGGACACATGCAAAAACTTGTCTTCCTTCGACAGTTGTGTATCTACGTTATTTCCATTTTGCCGAATTCTTGGCTTGGTTTTACGTGCTTGTAATACGGTTGTGTTGAGACTAAACTTAATATTATTTAATTAAAGTATTATAAGTTAGCATGGGTTGAAGTTTAAAATATGATATACGCGCCTATAATTCGAAAAACAAGAAAAGAATACCGAAGTTTCAACAAAGTCGAATTGAAAATCGATTACTCTCGGGCCAAATATTAACAATGGAAAAATAAAACCTGTTAGACCCTCAGATAAATACAAGATTAAATATAATTCGTCTGTACTATGTATGTATAAAACAAAAATAATCTTTTCTATCTTGTTTACCTCTACTTCTAAAATATTTTATCAAATAAGAAAATTGCCTTTTTCCAAGCAAACAGTTCTGGAGCTTTACTATCAGTTTTGGGTTTGATTTCACGGCAAAGCTATTGCAATTCAACACCAGGTCATGCTCGCAACATACCTACTAGGGATCATACATAACCTTATCTCCATACATTGAGCTTGGTGTCCACTGTGTATGTGTGTTAGAGGGATTGTATATATATATACATGCGTTCAAAGGATCCTGAGTTTAGTGTTTTGGTCTATTTATTTACTAGATACTGTTAATCATTTCACCTTCGTGTGAATTTCATTTCGCGATATATGTTTGTATGTCTTATTTGCAAATACTTAATTATAAATATAAACTTTATTAAGCAACAATAGTGAAACAGTAAGTCACGCTTGCTGGTCCAAGTAGAAGGGCGCAGGGGGTCTTAATTTGGGAGGAGTCCGCATAGTCACGTTTGCTGGTCCGGGTAAAAGGGCGCAAGGGGTCTTAATGTGGGAGGAGTCCGCATAGTCATGCTTGCTGGTCCGAGTAGAAGGCGCAGGGGGTCTTAATGTGGGAGGAATCCGCATAGTCATGCTTGCTGGTCCGAGTAGAAGGCGCAGGGGGTCTTAATGTGGGAGGAGTCCGCATAGTCACGCTTGCTGGTCCGAGTAGAAGGGCACAGGGGTCTTAATGTGGGAGGAATCCGCAGTGCCTGGAGAAAACCCCACGCGGTCCGGCATGTGACACGATCGCGATACCTTCTGTTGTATCAAATGTCGTTCTCCTGGGTCAATCGTAATCCTTCTATTCATTCTTTCTTTACATCGTGTACTAGATCAGGAAAAACCAGCCACGTGGTCTGTTATTATGAATATAGTAATGATATAAATACACAGATTAACGGTAAACTTGAGTGTCTTGCACTCAGCTATCGTCGGTTTGAATTCACACATGTCAACACAGTGAAAGCTTTATTTGAGCCTTTTCATGGTGTATTACTAGCTACAATGAACTACAAAAACATACACCTGTAAAGTTGTCCACCAATCTTGTGTACTTCGTGACGTCACGTTACTATTGTAGTGTGATGACATGTAATTGTGACGTCACGACGTTGTTCTTTTGAATAAACCTGAAGAGCCCTGTGAAGGGTGAAAGCAGCTAGTTTTTTAGTCGGTCGTTAATCTTATTATTTTTTCTATATTAACATCCTTCACATGGACATTTCATCCCTTTTTATTATATATATATATATATATATGTATAAGTGTGTGTGTGTGTGTGCGTACGTATTAAAAGCTTGCGAACCCATATTTTAAACTTTTTTGAACTAGTTGAAAATCGTTACTGTCAATGTCTGATTATTCAGTGACATATCGAGTTGACGTAATTCTGGAAGAGAACATGTTGAATATTACAACATCGAGACAAGTTAGTGACACATTTATGATACATGCACTACATTGCTATATGCGTGAGCTAATGAAAATGAAGTTAAAATAATAATAAAAAAAATATTAACTTCCAATTTTACGTTTTATTGTACGGTGTTTAAATCCCATTTGATAAGATAACAACCGAAAAAACAGTCATTGACTGAAATAAATATGTAAAGTTTTTAAAATTGTTATGTATTTCACCTATAACTTATGTGTATACATAAATACAACAATATTACCAGAACAACATGTTTTTTTTTTTTTTTATAAATTATCTTCTTTTATCAAATCCATTATAATTACAAAGTATTCTTCTAGCTTATTTGAATATTTTCAAAGAACCAACCATATATCTGAAATCTGAATCTGGATATTTAATTCGATGTGTCTGTTTCAGTGATAATTACTGTCGATGACAACTGTCTGTGACGCAATCTAGGGAGGTAGTGTAGTCCGGGTTGCCGTTACACGTATTCGAATCTGGGAACCCGTATACACTCCAAAGTAGGTCGACTGAAAGGCAAAGACCCGTTCTGACTGATGGTGTGGCCATGTTTCAAAACACAGCAAACAAGGTGTTTCTTGGCCTTGTGATCACCGTGATTGTCCTCGTCTTGTAAGTAGTCTTAGTTTTCCTCTTTTCACTAGTACGTAGGTTGTCATTGGTATACGTAGACTAGTGTTGAATAGGTTTGTAAGAGCAGTTAGGTATTGTTTGTATGTGGGTACGGACGTCGATACGCAAATAGATGCATGCGAGTATATCCAAAAACATCCAACATTTCAACATTGGATTTGGACAGATACAATAATCCACCGACATTCTGGAAATCACAGAAAGAGCTTCTCGGAAAATGTGTTATTTCCTCTACATTTAACCATCACAAGGACTATGAGGGTTAAATGTAGAGGAAATAACACATTTTTTTCTAAGTAATTCCTTATTTAAAGGTTAATCAAGAAATGATTAAAGATGTGAAAATACTAGACCACTAACAGCTCCTTCTGTCTCATATACTATATTATATATTTATCAACAGGTAGGTAGTTTGGCACAAGAAACAGTAGGAAGATAGTAAGGAAAGAACACACTAAGTTATTTGAACATTTGAATATAGGAATGAAGGAAGAATGGAAATATTCATTGGTCGAAATCAGAACTTTAATACATTCCATCCCCGCTTTACCCATGTTGCTTCATTGCATAGTGTCAAAATGATAGGCTTCCTTATAAACCTCAAACTAAGGTAAGTTAATCTAAGTAAGAGAACACTCCTTGTAGTTTTCTAATTTTCTATATACAAAAATGAATACTACAGGAAAAAAAGAACTGTGAGTAAATCGCGATTATCTCTGATGTTAACGCCATTCTTTCTTTTTTTTTAACTTTTCTACCCAGGATGCAGTACCTGACCGTAAGGAATGTACATATTTTCGCTTACTTCGGACAGCTGGTGAAACATGTCACTGACAGGTAATGTCCGGTCATCAGCAAGTGAAGTCAAGGTCACTAGCAGGTGGAAAAAGTCTTAAAAAGTGTTTTGAATACACACATTCGCATTAATCTATTAACCAAGTTCTTTAAAAGTCATTTTATAACGTGTTTTGCAAGTTCTCAGTTTGAAGTTGAAGTGTTTTTTAAATGCATAATTTTGATTGGTCGAATAATGAAGCTAGCAATATAATTAACACATCTGTGTATCTTCATTTTCCCGTTGTCTTTCTTTCTATGTCAAATAGGAATTAATGACACAAAATGTTTTCTCTTTCATTTGAATTTGGACAGGTACAATAATCCACCGACATTCTGGAAATCACGGCTAACAAATATTCCCCAAAAAACAACAAACACTAATGATACCATCGTGGCGTCTTTGGAAACCGGAAAAGTACGTTTTCAATACCAAAATGTTATCAAGACAGCATTAAAAACGCCAACGGCGACTATTTCCAGGAACATTCTAGATAGTTATTCCGAATATCGTCAGATACAACGTGTTGTTGATTTTAAAAATCTTTATGATCCTCGATTTTGTGTGGTAGAACTAGACGTAGACAGGAAAACAAAGACATTCACAGCAGGTACAGAACTCAGAGTGAGAGTACACCTCTATAATGGTTACAACCAGTCTCTGACTCAGGGAGGCGACTTGCTCAACATCTGGCTGAGAAATACGGACGGAAGTTCTTCTGTGGCTGGTTATGTGGATGATCATATGAACGGGACCTACACAGGTCACGTGATGGCGTTTTGGGCGGGAAATATATGTGTGAAAGTGTCCGTCACCAACACAAAGGAGGGGATCGGGTTATATACAAATTACGTGAATGTTCATGGTTCTTATAAGTTTATAAATGCGACATTCTCGGAGAAGAAGAAAAGTGAAATGACTCAATGTGCGCCAACAACGTCTGATTGGTTGAACAAAACATACGGGGGATTCTGTAATCTAACGCACGAGAATTATAACATCTCTTTATTCTGTGGGAAGCCAAAATCTGTTTCATGTAGGAATTGGGTAAAATACGGCTGGGACGATTCTTTGTATTACGACGAATACACAAGAAAAATACTCAGGTAAAGTAATTCAAAATTTAACATAGATGTTTGCTATCTATAGACGGTCAATATATCAGTCACAGGTTAGTAGATTGCAACGAAATATACGCATATAAATGTCAACCATCATAAAGTTCCTCGTTGATATTTACCTTGTGTTTTGTTTAAGGCTACAAATATATACTTAAAACAGTATAAATAATGTTGTTATTATATGTTATTATAGATAATGTATAATTCTAAGACATATCGATACAAATACCACTACATGTAACTATTACACTTCCATTAACACTGTGCGGAAATCCATTCCCCTACTCGATATTGTGCTATTTTGATGATTTTCACCGGTTATGCGTTTTATGTAAGATTTTGTTCCTGTTCAGGTATAAGGACGTGATATTGAAGCAAATCAACGTGACTATTGTTCCAAGTAAGTGTTTATCACTGATCACATTATTGTGTATTATTATTATTGTAACTTTTTTCTGTTTGGATAAATATAGCAAACACATATTTTTCCATGTTCAACTCCTTTTTGTCTTTAAATAAGCTGCCAGATGTAACCGAGTTCGTTTCTGAATGAGTCATTCTTAACAATCTGTAAAAGTATGTAATAAGCAATTGATAAAAAATATCCATTATATTCTGGAATTGTTCCAAGCCATTAAACTGTTTACTGACAGAATAATTATTCTCTTTTATTCTTTCAAATTTGTAGATTACAAAACGTGATTCATTTACACATACAACTTTTAGTATAATTATACAAAAGAGAAGAAGTTTGGTAGAATACATGATTGATTTATGGGAAACGTACATGGGCAATGCTGAATATGTATTGTTTAGATATATTTAAAGCTATTGGTTACATACAACATCGACTAACAATTGTTAATTAGATTACAAAAATAAGGCGGATAGCTTTATATACAAGGAAATAGCATGCTATTGATAATAAGAAGAGAAGAATATTGTATAATAATAATAATACTTATTTAATTGACTATATGTAAAATAGTTTGAGCATTTTGTAGATGAAATACATAAAAACCTAAATTCTTAATGTCTTGTACAGTGATTTCAAATGTTATTTTTCCACCGCGTAATGAAATAATTAATAGTCGGATTCACAATGAAGGCAGACACTGAACGAAGTATTACCTTCATTGACCACTTTGCACAAAGACTGGCCTTTCCATGTTCCGTAGTATAGGTACAGTTTAGTAGAATATGACTAGCAACATCTTTGTGTAAAACACCGCTCGACATAGATTATTAGTTTCATCACTTCGTATGGTTGCTCTTTACTTGTTACCAGTACTATGTTCACTATAAATATTGTACATACACTGCATAATTAGGATATTTTAATGTCAGTTCTTAAATATGTGTGGTGTTGAAGAGACATAGATAAGAATAATTCTGGCTTTCAACATGGACTCCTGTTCCTGAAGGACAGATGTTTTAGCTAATGCTTTCCACTAAATTTATCAAATAAGATTTATGTTTATATTAAAACCTTATCATAAAATACGTGACCAGTCGAAATAGATGGGGCGAGCCAATTGGGATTGATTTTGGTAACCAAGTTGCTCTTGGCGCTAAACTTATTTTGGTTGCTATGGCAGCCCCGGTCTATGACCTCATCTTTTTATCAGATAGAGGAAACCTAACTGGTCAATCGCCTGAAGATTAGAGAGGTGAATCAAACTACTGTATCGTGTATTAAGCGTTACCCAGCAGAAAAAAAAGATGCAAATCTTTAAATATAAATAACCCCTATGGGTGTACGAGGGTCATCACGTAGCATTTTTAGCCATTTTCATTTCATACGAACGTTAGGTTACTTATTCAATTTCTATAAATTACGAAATTACAGAATGATAACCTGTGAATTATTTATTTAATTGTTCCTATAACACAAACCTTTCTTGAGGCTTGAAGTAAATAATTTATAACTTGTACGCCAAAGCCATTAATCTTAGAAATTGTATGTATTGAGTGAAATGTCGATAACTAGAGATTGTCCTTAGTAATGAGACCTGTTCACTCTTATAAAAATATGTTGTTATGTTTTCCTTTTTTCACATTTTATCGAATTATTAACTTCATTGACTGAATACATTCACTTGTTTTAGGTTCCAAAGGTGATCTAGTCTACCCACTGCCTGATACTCCCTGCAACAGTCTGCCTCGAGTTTTAACATGGCAAAGTACTGTACCGTCTGGCTTCCTCTACAGGGGAGTGTATCACAACCTAATATGCCGCCCTACAATAGACCGAAATAGGGATAATTATCGGACGTGTCTTAAAGATAGACCTGTTATTTCGATCGGTGATTCTACAACCAGACAGTGGTTCTTCCGTCTATCGAAGTCCTTACAGATTAAGTACTCGGAAGGTTTTACAAATAATAACGCATGGCAAAAGTTTGCACATGCGTACAACACCACACTGGGTTTGGACCTGGAATGGCAACCACACGAGCTTCCCTTCCACGGGTCACCGGGGTCAGACAGAAAAAATGTTAAATCTGTAGCCTATAGGCTAGACATAATCCCGGGTAACAGTACTGCCATTGTAATCATCCACTGGTACGCCCACATCGCCAGGTGCTGTGATCACATAGCTTTACGAGAGCACGTGCGCCATGCAAAGGCGGCCATCATGAGGCTTCTTATGAGATCTCCGGATGTTCAGGTTTTCATTAAAGGTCCTCACCTCATAACATATCCCAAGGATCATAAGCCATATGCCTACATTGGTATGTTCGTGGAACAGATTTTAATTGAAGAGTTCAATGATTTACTACACAGAATTATCTACCTTGATCAGTGGGACATGTCAGTGGCAACCGAAAACGTCAATATTCATCCCGATCCACAATTGGACGATACATCACTGAACAATCTTATCAATTTTGCATGTAAATTATATTGACGCTCGTTGAATTCTTAAAATCAAATGGATACCTTGATACCGAATGGACTCATCAGTCAAGTATTATATCTATAAGCTTTATTTTCATCTCATTATATGCGTCAAATTCCTGTGATAATGTTAGGTATAATTAGATTTTCAATAGGTACAGGACAAATTCAAGATAAATAAAATAAATAAATAAAATGCAGATATATTGTGAAATAGAATAAAATTAAAATTGATATTAATTTCATTTCGAGTCATTTCATTAATTGGGTATTAATACTTTTCTTTTTTTATTTCTAATTGTATAATGTGTTATTTATTATCTATGACGTCACAGATGTTTGATATAATAATAATTCATATCGTTAACGGAGCTGTGCAATTTAAATTCTGAAGGAAGACAATCACACGTTTGAAACGTAAAGGATGTCATAACAGGTTTTTTTCTCACTTTATACTCGTTACGATAAATGGGGACGAAATTAATTTGAAACCCGCTCATTGTTTCAAACGTGAAAGAGACATATTAGGTCTTAATATACATTATATAAAATCACATTACAATATAAAACAATGTTTTTGTTATGAATGTCTATTTCAGGCTAAATCTGTTTATCGTAGGAGGAAAATATATCAGATACTGTTATGTACATGGAAATAATGCTTTATAGCGATCTTTGTCATTGAATAAACAGAAAACAAACTGAGAGCCTGATTATTGAGGAAGCTGTGGTAGTTTCAGACCTACTTGCGTTACTAGTTCACCTGGAGGAAAGGACAAACAATATATTGTTTTGGCACGACGTCGTCCGTCCATCCGTCAACGTTTTCTTTTTCAGTTATACAGGTACGATTTTGGCTCAATTCGGAATCCAATATGGCTGCTATGACACATTTTCAACTTCTTAGATGGTGCTTGACAGCGTTTGCTAGTAAAAATGACCTTGACCTGTTTTCACAAGGGTCAAATATGTAAAACTCTTCAAACAACTTTTTCTGAATTACCAAGAGGCCAAGGGTGATGATATTTTGGCAGAAATATGCTGGTATGACGGGCTATCAAGATGGTTAAACATTTTCTTGACCAACTTTCAAGGTCACAGGGTCAAATGTGCTGAAACATTTAAACAATTTCTCGAAAACAAACAGGCATTAGATGATGATATGATTTTGTGTGTAATGCACTACAGGTACAATGGCCTACTTTTAAATTTATGGATGAAGTGACATTCTCGTGTGTGAAAAGAGAACACATGACTAAGATATCAAAATATGTTACTCTACTCTCTGAAATGGGCAGTAACAGTTTCCTATTTTACATGGTTTCACAGTATCCAACTTGTTTCCTATTGAAGCTGACGTATATTGTGGTACTCGAACAACCCTGACAAAAATGTGTTATGAGACCCAAACATTTTGGTGTGGTGTTGCGCACTAAAAGTTTCACACATTACGGCTCATTGCCTATATATAATGAGTTGTTAACTAGGTTTCTATCAGAAATACGCGTGATTTTAACAATAAAAAACTTTGTGAAAAAATGTAGAACAACTTATTATAAGAGATGTTTTAGTTAACTCTGTGAGTATTTTATGGAACAAATTTAGAAATCTCACTGCATATTTTACCTAGTCTAGAATCTACTAAGAAGGCATACATGCAGAAGCTTTTATAGATGTGAGCATTTTATTGACCAATTTAGAAAGCTCACTCAATAATTTTACCTAGTTTGTGTCTTTAAAGGAATACCCGCAGAAAATGTTTTAGATGTGACAAATAGATTTATACTTTAACTTGTCAGGATCTCCACATGTTATATTGTTACTATTTATGAATACTGTATGCTCGTTGTAAATTATGTATTACTGGGCCTTATTGTAAATTGGATGTAAATCTAAATATGTAACCCTGTCTAAATAAAAGAGTTTCTTTTTATTTTTTGCTGTAATTTGTCACATTTGTTTAACAGTAGTCATGTTAAATCAAGTGAGCAATTCAGACTTACTGGCCCTTTTGATCAAATAAAGTGATAAAACGTGGTTGATTCTCATCACTGAAATGATTTCTTTGAATAGTATTGAACTTTTGTCTGTTGACACTATGGAACATTAATAGAATCATTCACCCCCTTTGGGGTGAGATAGGGGAATCTCAACCCGAGGGGGAAGATTCTTATGTTCCCAAACACGAGTCTTTGCCGAGTGTTTGGCAACTTAAGAATCTTTCCCCGAGGGTTGAGATTCCCCTATCTTACCCACAAGGGGGTGAATGATTCTTTTTCTCTTACATGTACCCTGTTTTCCCCAATGTTTATCATATACACAATGTAATGATAACGTTACATGCTAAATTCAGGGTTGACGTGACGTTGATGGATTGTTGACGTGACGTCATTGTATTGTTGCAGTGACGTCATACCATTGTTATAAATAGGGGAATCCCCCCGTCTCTGCCCTAGGGCGGAGACAGATAAATCTAGCACCGGCAAAACAGGAGATAAATCTGTCAGGTGTGGGAGAAATTGATATCTTCTTGCGTTAGTTTAGTAACAATCAATGTTCCTCTAAAGAAACGTTTGATACAGAAAACTTTCAGTATCATTCTTGGATGGATGGTCATCAAAATTGACCAGAGATATTTAATTGTTTTATGTTGAACATATGGATGATATTAATATCTTATTTAGTTAGTCTAGTAACAAAATATATGTTGTCATCTGCTTCTGTAGAAATGTTTGATAAAGAAAAATGACATTTGTTCAGTACGTATCTTAGGTGGAGGACACTCAGAATTGATGCATTTCTTTGACCTTATGTACGGGGCTAACAAAGCCTTCAGAGATAAACCACAACAGTTTATGTATAGGATATATTACAGAAATGGAATGTAACATACTGTGTTTGCAACGGTTATGTCTACAGTCGAATACTTTCTACAACTGTTTCCTAAACATGTTCGAAAATAGAAACCAGTAAATATAATAGATATTTTCATATATTAATGCATCTTTCTAACCAAAACAAGCGGTCTTGAAATAAAGGGGCTAAGTAAACAGCTGTTTAGTTATTCGCTGCTGGCACAAGTTAGTCATTAAAATGATTAAGATAAGCTGATAAGATTAATAATTCAGAATCTTCAATAACGAACTCGGTGCTGGCAGCGGTTTAGTTATTCGAAAATCGAACTTCCAATAACTAATTCGCTGCTAATTTCAGCCCCTCTAGAAATAGAATATCCTTCCTTTTGAAAACCTAACCCGCTATATTTAAAACTCATTGGCGGCATTTTTGAAGCATAGTTAACATAACGGGTCAATAATATCATCTATCAGAATGTCATGTAAAATATTTTTATTGGTATTTCTAATATAAAATCGAAAACTTACTCTAGGGCCAAATATGAACAATGGAAAAATAAAACCTGTAGACCCTCGGATAAATACAAGATTAAATATAATTTGTCTGTACCATGTATGTATAAAACAAAAATTAACCTATTTGTATAAGTTTATTTTTTTCAAAATAATAAATCGTGTCTCCAACTACACTACATCAACTTTATGTAAAATTCCTAATTGTGAAATGAAGACAATAAATGTTAAAACAAGCTTTACTTAGCGAAATCAATAACATGTTTTATGGTCAGTAGAAAAACGATGTAGTTGGTCGGGAAGCAAAAGCTGGTATTTAACCCTTTGAGTACCACAGGAATCTCGTAACATGTATTGTCATGTATTGTCATGTATTATTTGTCAAATTTTAAGTATTATTACAAAAGCTCTCCAATGGAATGATTTTAATGTTGTAAATAACGATTTTTTTCGCGTTTCATGAACCAATTTGTCCAAACTGAAAACCAGAAAACATGCATAGTAATAGTGAAATGTACTAATATGCAATCTTCATGTGCATCTGTGTCTTGCAAGACACAGCACATGTACCCCACGGAAACACATATATAGCATGCCGTACTCGCACGGCGCCACCCATTGCCCCTGACACGAGAGCAGATACTCATTCTGCTGATATGTTCGTAGATTTATATCAGGTTGTCGTTCTCCAACTGATTACTACATATGCTGTCCACGATAATCTGAATGAATGCCGTCCGGCTCAACTTTTGATTCGGATCTGTATTTTGGGAATAACATATGTAAGCATTTAACAACATCCTTTTGATGACGTTGAACGCGATCTTTTTCCACAATTTATGGGTTTTGCGGTTGTCGTCATACGTTAGATTCAGCATGTCGTTCAAGTCAATACCGTCCATATTTTTGTTGTAGAACTTGACAATGTCCGGTTTCCGTCTTTCATCTTTTGCTTCAATGCAGATTGATAAAAGACGTAAAGTGCCAGTAAAGTTCGTTCCAACCTGAAATAGTCTTTTTGCCAGATCTTTTGAAGGAAAACTGTTATTAAATCTAAGCCTTTGTTCAGCAACCCCGCCGCTTTCAATAACGCAAACACAGCAGAAGACCTCTGCGTTTGTCCAGTAGGGACAGGATCATATCTGCGACCCCTGTACACGGTTATATGGAGAATGTAGCCTGTAACAGACTCCGCCAACATCCAAACGTTTACCCGAACTTGCAGTGTTTTGAAGGGATATACTGAGTTATTTCAGTTCTATTTCTTTTACTTACTAATGATTCGTTTATGGTGAGAGTCTGAGATGGTGTGAAGTGTCGTTTGAATAGCATGTTTACACGTTGGACGAAATGTTTGAATTTGTGGGGGTGGGGGTGTTCTGCGGGTATGTTTGTATACGTTTGAATAATACATGTATAACCGATAACTTCCCGTTCATACATGTACATCGTATGGTAGGAACTTGATATGAGTACTTAAGGAACTCGAACTTTTTCATTTAATTTAAAATTTTCAAAGAGAGGAAGACGTACAAGTCCTCATAGAACCGTATAAGTTGTTTACCCTGTCTGGTTAAATTAATATGCATTAGCTAGTCGTTAATCAGGCTCCAGACTAACAGTCTCGCAAGCCAACGAGTGTATTGGATACACGCTATAGATATGAAAAAATCTATTCTATCTTGTTTACCTCTACTAAAATATTTTATCGAATAAGAAAATTGCCTTTTTCCAAGCAAACAGTTCTGGAGTTTTACTATCAGTTTTGGGTTTGATTTCACGGCA